AGTTAAAAGAATAGACTTGATATGCACATACTGAGATAGTACTGTACATCTGCTTCTAATGTAGATGTACTAAGAGGTGTATATTTCAAATTGGCGGGTGTAAATTTTAATACTAATGGAGGACACGAGTTGTCGCCCTTTCAGCCTAATTCTGTTGTTATTTTCATGCTTCTACATCATAACCAAGAGAATTATTATTCATTATTATTTTTTAAAACTGCAAATGGATTTATACCCAGTGGCCGTGGTTCTACAACTGGACAAAACACACAAATAACACACGTCACACAAAATAACACACCACTCCCAAACAAAACACAACACACAAACAATGAAGGACACACGACTCACAATGAAAACACAATTACAACTACAACAAATGTAACATAAACTGTAGGTTTAGCTTCAGTCAGTGATCTGTGATCATGATCTCAATAACACTATTTCGTGTCACTTTGTTATTAACTTATTCCTGTCCTGTGACAACCACAGAAGGGAAGTTGACATAACGGTTTCGAATTATTTGCTTGTTGCTGATCTGATCGTGCAGGGCTAGCAGTGACGTACGGTGTTGCGCCTCGTAATGTAGGTTACAAATAACTGAAAAACAAAATTGTAAAAATGCAATTTATCATGTCCTGTCTCCCAATAATCACGCAATATTATTACACAAACCTGCTCTGCAGAGATTCTAATGTACGACTAAATCAAATTTATTCTAAAGTTCCCTGTCTAAGGCGTGTGATTACATTGACATGTCCTGGTTTAGCCACGCACCGCATTTACGCAGTCCTTGCTTAGTTTCTTTGCGTCACCGCACTAGAAGTAGCAGAAGTCATTAGGTGAGTTATATCACTTACGCACAAACAGTGTCACCTTTATTAGTTTGTCTCCAAATGAGTTCAGGCTGGGTGCTTCTTAAGCTCCCGATAGAGGCAGTGCGAGTGTCTATTGTTAGAACTTCATTGATCGTGTGTGCTGACGTCCATAAACTAAACGAAACGAAGTACTCGAATGTTGGAAATTGGCCACGATGATACCATCAAAGTTATTGTTACACATACTTAGTTGTGACGGATCAGAACGCTAGGCATTATTGTTGTTGTTGTTGTTGTTATTATTATTATTATTATTATTATTATATTAGTGCGGTAAGACTGAGTCTGCCGGTCAAGCCAGCCCAGCGGTCTAAGGCATGCACTGTCTTCGCTCGCTCGCAAGCCAGAATCGTGGGTTCGAATCCCACTCAGGGCGTGGACGTTCAGTGTTTGTGTGTGTGTGTGTGTGTGCTACTGTCTCCAGCTGCCAATTCTGCGTGTATGTTTGGCATGTCTCAGACAATGTGCAATGCACAGCGCAGCATTGGTACAACACTATAGAGCCTGTCTGGTTCCACTCACGGAGCAGGTCCATTTGGAGATAGCTCTCTGTGTTTGTGCCTCGTAGGTACTGGGTTTGCATCTCGCCCGTTACACCGGCTGTCCTGAGTGCGGGACTTCTCGTAAATTTGCTTCTGTCCCCAGGGAAATTCCGGAATCGTACCTCCACGAAGACCATCAGCGTTTCCCTTCAAGTCCTTTTCAAATCATTTAGCAATCGCCGTCCCTTTCGATGCCACATAATCTAGAAAATCTCAGGGTCTTCAAATGACCCCCCCTCCACCGCCACTGCGATGGCTGTGCCCTATTACGACGGCAGGCAAACGTTCTGAGTTTGAGCCCCTGTGATATCAGTGTTCGTTATATACAGAACTATTTGTACATTTCGTTTTCCATTTCATAAAAATTAAAGTTGTATTAAAGTATATTTGTTTCTTGCGAAAATAAATTGACTATGGAGAGGTGATTAATATTAATCTCTTCCCAACTGCGGTCTTGAAGACAAGAAATTATTATTCGCTTCTTCTCAAGTTGCTATGCCTGTCATTCCCAGGAACTTGTTCTCAGTTCACGTGTAAGTTGTTTGCACTGCTGAATGAGGGAACTGGACCATGAAATATTCTAGGACATTTTTCTTCTCCGTACTATCCCTACTAACTCTTCGTAACGTTCAGATTTCTTATTAAATTGTGACAGAACTTTGTTATAAAACTTAACGATTTTAAGAACTCATTTACATGCCCTGTGAGGAGTGGGGGTGGTATTTTATTACAAGAAATGCCGAGAAAGATAAATGAAGAACATGATGCTTCTCACATTCTCAGTGTACGTGGGATAATTAGAAGTGCCTATGAAAGGAAATTGTATACAGGGATGTTACAAGTTTCTCTTAACGAAGCTCTGGGAAGAGAAAGTTCTGTGCAGTGCAATCATTCTTGTTATGCGAGCTCCTAAATACTGCGACAAGATGATAAACAAAATGAATGTGTTATTTGGAGACAAGCAGACACGCTGACAGTGAGGAATTGAGGGAGGCAGATGAAAATGAAGAGACAGAAGACACGTTCCAAGATTTTCCATTGTTCATTCTCTGCTTGTGCTTTATTACGATCGCGTCTTGGTGACGTGCAGACTGTCCTCACCCTGAGCGCTGGTGCGTGGCAATCAGTGCAGTGTTCCCGCCTCACCGAACCGGGCTCAGCTGGAATGAAATTTAATATCAACTCCTTCTCTGAAAGGAAGTTAGCACGAATATTAATAAGGAATGTAACAATTGATTTCGTAACTATATTTTCCGTGTAACAAAGAATAAAATGAAACTAAAAACGTACACATCGTTAATTTCAAAATATGAGTATTTTAAAATTTCAAACCAAAAAATTACATATCTTCAAAACCGTTAATTAACTTAACTACGAGTATTCTCATTCATTATACAGTTCGAAAGCAAGCAATTAAATAAAACGGTGAGATTTCTTTAAGTGGTCCTATAAATGTATAAAGTGGAGCAAAACTGAAAATATTTCATGAAATGAAGAGGTAGACTATCATAACTGAATGTCGTCCAAACCTTTCTCTTAATTTGGGTTCTGTTATTTGAAGAGAGACGGAGAGGCAGACATATTGACAGTTATAGACAGTATTCAATTTGTATTTGACATGCAAATAAAAACATTAAAATGAGTTAGAATTTGAATAGGTCCGACATTCTGGAATAAAATTACCAAGAAACAGAAGAAATCACGCCCCTTTCTCGTTCTTTGTCTTCCTGGGCATAGAAACCTTCCCCAAGTCTTCTTACTTCGGTCAAACCTCTGCTATGTTTTGTTTAAAAGTTATACATATTAATTTAAAAGTATTAATTAAAGTCCCTCATAATGTTCTGTAGAAATTGTAAGTAGAGGACATAATAATAATAATAATTCAATTCAAATTGTGTTTATTTACGTGCAAACTTAACAGCACAGTGCCAATTACATTACATTAATAATAATAATGCATTAGTAACATTAGTAAATATAAAAGTTCCCCCGAACTTTAACCCTACCATCACTGAACACTGCTCTGACTATACGAATACTGCATGATGTATTCAACTGATAAATAAACTGCGAAGAATTCATTTTAATGTTGACTTTCCATGCATTTTTTATTCACGATACATGTTGTTGTGCACCAGAAACTGCTGTATGCATTAACTTATCCTACTGAATTATTTATTGTGCACATCCAGGGCTCGGTCCTTGTGGTATGATTTGTAGAGCAACTTCTCATGTGTCTCATTACCCCTCTATTTTTCTGTGTGAATATCTGAGACGAGTTTTAGCAATTAAAAGCAAAGAATAATCCATAAATTTATATAATTCTAACGAACCTATAGATCTTGAATATAATAATAATGAAAATATTACAAATTGTCAATGAATAATCCGTCGAGTGTAACAACGTTCTTAGGTCACTTAATTATTTCGCTCGCCTTACATGTTTCGGTTCAAAAGAAACCATCATCAGAGGCACTTTACAAACACATGAAACCACTGGCGTTGTATTGTACACAGTATGTAAGCTGCGTGATCTGCTACAGATGTCGGAGTATAAAAGTATAAAGAGTATAAACAATTCAAATGAAAATATTATTTTATTATAAATAACATTGCTCTTTCCGTGAGGCTGTTACGTGATACATTTTAGGGACAATGACCCAACTGTGCCATCGATGTGATATTCTGTAAAGTTGTTAAGGGTTATACTTGTAGATCGTTATGTTAGTTTTCCTTATACAGAATGTCAGCTGTGCTGACTTTCATCTTGTCAGCGGTGAACTGGCCTCACTTCCGGACTCCAGTAGACTGCAGTCTTTAGGAGACTTAATGGCATGAAGCGTTTTGGTATCATCAGCAAATAGATATTGCAGCATGTAGAGCCGTTGCTATGTAACGACCGCGAGATGGGCGATATAGCAGGGCACTTTCTGGACACTGCTTCGGTGAACACATTCTCGTTGCTAGGCAGCAGATTCTTAATAATGCGACAGTTGGACCACAACAATGGAAGAGTTGTGTTTATTGCGTGGTCTGTGCCAATATAAGCAAAGGGACAAAGTCAGTTAATAGGCAGTTCTATACAGGGGTCTAGAGAGGACTTGAGCCGGAAGCAGATGTATAATCACTGTTGGAGCTCTTGCCAGGAAACGTCCAGTGACAGAATGAGAACACTAGTTTATGTACACACAGATGTAAATAAAAATTTTTCATAAACGCACTTCTTCAATCTGATTTATTTCATGGTTTATATTAACATGTTTTTTGTATTGTTTTAGTATTTATTTGTTGCTGTTGAAGTCCTTGGATATATCTCTTATGCTGTGTTATAGGCCACTTGCTCCTGGCAAACACTCATGTGAAGGAACTGAGTTTAATTATTGTTTCCATAGTTATCACCATCACAATAATCATGATGAGACTATTATTAATGTTGCCGACAGAGCCAGCAGTAGAATCTGGAATAAGAAGAATACAAACCTTCGATTTTGGGAGACAGGAGCCTGCCCCGAAAAGTTACATGTATGATGACGCAGCCTATGCTGTGCATTTCTATAGGAGCCTTGTGTCGCTGTTGCAGACTGCCACTGTTACTGGGCGTAATGTTTGGAGTCGTGGCAGCCATCATCATAATCACTGTTATGTTGTGCTGCTTCTGCTCCTGCTGCATTCTGTACAAGAAGCGCCAACCCCGTCTTAGTGGCGGTGAGTACCCACACCTAAGCGCCACGACATCCAAGTACCCAGAATAAAATATTGTCGCGTGTTGCCTAGGTAACGCGGGGAATAAATTTACACAGATCTCGGATTTGGCGAATTCGTTTATTGAACGCTCACTTTTACTGCTTCTGCTAGAGTCAAAGCCAAACTGAAGACTGACTGCTCTTCTAAGGTCAAATGCAGACTGAACTGTTCTCGGCAGCGTCTAGAACCCAACAGTCAACTCTCTGGTCCCTCGAATCTGGACTGTTATAACCTGGTCTCGGACGGAATAGCGCCTTTGGCCTCGGCCGCTGTGACGCAACGAAGCCTCTGTTGTCCCTTCATCTCCGAGGAAACGCGTTTGTTGCTTAACGTATTCTTAGGCAACGGCCCTCTGGTAATGCGTTTTCGTAGAAGTATACCTTCCGGCTTCCCAGCACGCCACAATATGTAATCTCATATTTAATCCACTACTTTAATTACAAGTCTCAGAAAGGAGAACATTATATTTTATATATTTTTATATATTATATTTTTTCTGCGTTAGAGAGTCCTAACATCGTGTCCTGATCTAAATAAGGACTTCAGGAGGTTTGTGAAGGGAGCTCAGAACACGTGAAACCTTCAGAATTTAGAGATAATTTTCTTTTTCACGATGACGGTACTGTCTGTCGGAATTGGGATGTCAGTGGGCACACTACCCCGCACGTTCGCGCTGTGATCATGTAGTAAGTTGTATGCTTTCTCTTACTTTATCACCCTATTTTTGTCTCTCTTCCAACAAACAGTGTTTTCTCACATTACGCACATTCATTCATCTGTAATCTGTCAAGACGACAGGTCCACAGTCTCTTCAAAAACAGTTCCTCCACTTGATGCGATCTAGAGCTTTGTCCTTCAAATGAGAATATCCTCTTCTGTCCCCAAGGTCATCCAGTATCTTCTTACGTCTTCTGGTCACTTCTATCCGCCCCTCTATCTTTCCTTCAATAACTTCTTTTAGAAGGCAGTTACTGCGTAAGATATGACCAATCCAATTAGCCTTCCGTTTTCTTATTTCCTGTAGATTACGCACTTGTGAAACTAAAAATAAAAATACTTTCGATAAAATTCCATATTCTTATGGAACATATACAACAAATAAATAATATTAATCCCCTATCATTTCCTGACCCTTGCGATCTTCTGACATAACCTACTCCACACTGCTACAAGAAAGCTACCAGTATTGATTTTGTACGTATGCTGTCTGATATAACGGATATGGAGCTGGGTTATCAGGCGTTAGCCTTTATTTTCTAATGTACGTGGTCTGACAATAAAGTTCACGAACTCATCGTGGTAAAATTGCTACACAGCTCATTGCTGAATATCACTATGGTCGCCTTCAAAGTACCCCCATTGGGAAGCTATGCACGGATGCCAGCGCCAGAACAATTTTGTAACTGGTTTTGCAGAATGGTGTTCAGATCTGCCGTCATATTAATCCTGATGTCATCAGTGTCATCAAAATTCCTTCCTTTCAATATTTCCTTTATCTTCAGGAACAGAGAAAAGTCCCTAGGGGCTACATCTGATGAACAGGGAGGGTGTTCCAGCACAGTATTTGTTTACTAGCTAAACTCTCCCTCAAAGATAGTGCTCTTTTGGGATCATTTTTTCATACACCTTTCTCATGTCAAGATCTTCAGTTAAGGTTTTCTTGTTTCTTTGTCGATGTTCGCTTGCTCTGCTGTGCTCCTAACAGTCTGTCGACGATTTTCACACACAGTTTGGCGAACTTTTGCAACGTTTTCCTCAGTTCTTCTCGTCCCTGGCAGTCCTGAACTCTCTTCGATGCTGACGCGTTCTCTTCCCTCAGAAAAACCCGTCACCCACTTGTAAATTGCTTCTCTCTTCGTAGCATTATGCACGGAATTTGTGCAAATCCCCTCTTTTGTTTAAGAACTCCAAATGCTCTTTAGCCCTAGTCGTTCTATTTGCATAGTAATGGGATTACTTGTCGTTTTAAATCGCAGTTACAACCCCTCAAATTGTTCCTGTCATCTGACAACAAAACTCGTGAATGATTCATGGGAACTTCGGAGAATAATTATCCCTTGTTTTGGTTCAAGCAGCTTCGTGCAAAACTCCATTGTGAAGGTTGTAATTATAACATGCACATAGCACACAGCATTCTGATGAGATACGAGGGGAGATGTCAGAGAAAATGATGTCTGTATGGCGCGTGTTGACGCCTGAAAACTTAATTTAAAACTTAAAATTATAGCCGGAAAGTAAAATTAATCGGTTAGTCAGAGAAAATCAAAGAGGGTCAAGTAGGCAAGGCACACAATAGACATGAGGCATGAGACATGAGAAATTCATACAAAAATGTTGATCGGAAAACTGAAAGGCAGAGACCACGTGGATGGGTGGATCTTGAAGAGGGTGGGAGGATGTGGACTGCATTCACATGGCCCAAGATACGCAAAATGATCGGCTCTTGTGAACACTGTCTTGATAACAGACGTGAAGTTTCTCGAGTTGAGCAACACGTACATTCTCAAGAAGTATTCAGCTTGATGTAATTACTGATTATTAAGTCTTACATCCAATCAAGTAATTCCCGCCCTCAGCCAAGTAAGCCTCGCCGTCATTGGTCATCCAGCCCTTTCCTTTTAGGGTGAGAGAGGGAGGCTGGATAGCTCAGTCAGTTTAGTGATGGTCTACGGTATGAACTGCAGGTGTTCGATTTCCCGAAGGGAGGAGACTTTTTTCTATCTGTACTGAACAGCACGTAGACAGACTCTGAGGCCCATGAAGCCTCACATCTGACGGGTACTAAGGCTCCTTCTTCTGGGGGTAAAGTGACCGGGGCGTGAAGCTGAACATTCACTTCCGTCCAGTGCCGAGGTCAAGAACTGTGAAGCAATAACTCCACTCCCGCACGCGACTTCATAGAGTCGTGCTTTATTAATTAATCAGCCCCAATTTGCGCATTGTCCTACCTCCATGAAACTCTCCCTTTTCTCTTCGGTTTACTAGATTTTAGACATTCGGTAGGACTCCTTGGGCAGGTCATCAGCTCTTCGAAAGGCCCCTACTTGTACACACACAAAGACACTATGCATCCATTCCCTGAGTGGGATTCGAACCCATGATCGCTGCTACCGAGCGAGTGAAGACAGTGCGTGGCCTTAGACCGCTGGGCTACCGTGACCGGCATTTATACCTTTTTTCTTCGCATATTATAGTTCTTGAAATGTTCGGAAGAAGAGAGGAGGTTTGTGAAATGGATGTTAGGAAGCGTTCCCAAGATTTCATCTGCCCTTGTTTAACAGCTGAGTAAGAGGCTGTCATTGGAATACTACTGTAACAAACACGCACGGGAAGACAAGTGAGTCCTCAGTGAAATATTGTGAAAAGGGTGATCAAATTGTAAAGTTCAGCTGTTCACAATTTCAGCAACACCCGCTTTCTCCTGTCAGACTGAACAACAGCAGGCTGATGGAGATATAGCTCTGTAGAACTGTGCTATGGAGTCGCAGGGGTTCAAGTCCCAGCAGCGCCTGTCCTGACAGATGGTTTCGTAGTTATACTAAGTCCACTCATCTAACATAACGCTGTCTGGCGTTGTTAAGGCTCAAAAATAAAAGCGTCACTAATAACTTAAGAGCCGGTCACGGTAGCCGAGCGGTCTAAGGCATGTACTGTCTTCGCTCGCTTGGAAACCGGGATCGTGGGTTCGGATCTGTTTCCTGTGAGGTACGAACTGAATTCTTATATATTATTCTTATACACTGCCGGTCACGGTAGCCGAGCGGTCTAAGGCATGTACTGTCTTCGCTCGCTTGGAAGCAGGGATTGTGGGTTCGAATCCCACACAATGCGTGGATGTTTGTGTGCGTTTTTCTGTGTTTGTGTACAGGTGGAGGCCTTGCGACGAGCTGATCACCCGCCCAAGGAGTCCTACCGAATGTGTAAGATCTAGAAAAACCGAAGTGAACGGAGAAGTTCATGGAGATAGGCCTAGGCCCACTGGGGCTGTAGTGCCAAGGGGAAAAAATGTTTTGTGACTGAATGGGACTCACAGTTCGGACTGCATACACATTGCTACAGCAATCACTTTAATTCACCGCGATTACAAGAACGTTGATCCATTTGTCAGGGTTTCCCAGAACATCACCCAGTGATTTAATTCTCAGGTTTGATATAGACGGCCACTGAGTGGCAACAGTTATAGTGTGCTTATGTCGTTCCTGTTTATACTTTCGGAATTAATGGCTTTTTGGACTTTGTCCATCATCCGGTGTTTCAAAGAAACTAGAGAACAGACGTTTCGGAAACCGAATCTCTTTCCGAAACGTCGTGTTCTTTTTTTTTAAGAATACCGGACTATGGACGAAGCCCAAAAATCCAGTCATTTCTAGTGTTGCCATCGTCAGAATCACTCAGAATCTACTGGTAAATTTTATTAACAAATTTATCCTTGAGCTCAAACTCCAGTTGATTTATATAACTTGATTTAATACATGTGAGCACTTGAGTAAGTGTTTATGAAGTCTTTTACTTAACACGCAACTCACAGGACGAGGGGTCATTTCACTAAGAGCAGATCTAAGACAGCCATTTCGAAGCTGTGTGTATAACACTTCAAAATTGTGACGTCATAGAAATAAATTGTTTTATTATAATTCTATTTGTTCTTAACGGATGCGTGATATTTTAGCTCTGTAGATGATGACGCTTCTCTGGTCCAAACTGTGATTCACCTCCTGTTTATCTTCATTGTTTGAATCTTGTTGTGTTTTATTATATACAGACTTCTTGTTGTATCAGTCAACATAACAATTCTGTAATAAAGAAATCAGTACTACTGTATTAATGTTTGTTTGTTTGTGGAAGTGTGGCTACATGTTTCGACCTTGTCGGGTTATCATCAGGCAATCATTGCATGACTCTGTCACTCTTATTGGATTATTTACCGATATTGATCCAGATCCGTCATTTATAAATTTTCGTTCGGTTTGCATTCTAATTTTAATTGTTAAATTTCGTCTAAAAATAAAATATAAAAATATTATACCAATTAGCATAACCGCCAAAGTTATAAATAAATATATATCAGTAACTTTCAAATTATTTCCTGTTAAAGCCCCGTGTTACCCGTAAAAGACAAAGCAATACGGCCTATGAAATTTACATAATCGTCATAATGAAATACAAATATAACTAGGTATTGAATATGGAGATAAATAAATAGTAATTAATTAGTTAATCACATCAATCCAGTTATAAATATACCTTGTAAAGTTCAATGTGGGTCACTCTAAAAGCCAATGAAGCAAATTTGAAAATAAAAAATGAATTTTTTCAAGCTGTTACGTTAGTACCAACCCAAAGTACAGAGGCCGTAACGTTTGACGTAGACTGCCTTAGCAGCACAGATAATAAAGTCTCTCATTTATCCGCGTCATTCATAAAAGCATGTATTCTGTTTGCGTCAAACGAAATAGCAACGTTTGTGTTATTAATTTTCATATAGCATGACTCAAGTCATAAACCAGTCGTTCCGTCATGTTCGTGTAATGAAATATTCACGTGGTATGTCTGCCCCGTACGTCACGTTGCATACAAATGATACGAGCCACAGGTTTCATCACCTGCCTCCACCTATCCACTTGGAAGATAATCCGGTTGTTAAATTCTCGGCTTGATTTAGTTATGAACCTGTGTTTCCGAAACCTGCAGAATGTCGACTGTAAGGAAATATCGATAATCAATTGCGGAAACCCCAGTTTTTTTTATCTTTTATCCTGCTCCACGTTTTGTGATGAGTACAATAAGGATTTAACAAAGAGAGCAAACACTTAGACAATTTATTGTTAGTTTTGGGTTTAGAATTATCTTCAATTCTATTTCACGCCTAAATTATAGCATGGCCGCTTCTTTTTCTGGAAAGTTGGATATTCGGGAAGTGAAGATACAAAGTCCAGAAAATATTTGTAAAGCTTTTTCCTTTTGGATTCACTTGTCTCACTTTTACAACAAAACATTTATTTACTGTTCAACATAGTCACATGGATCGAAATGCAATTAGTGAGCCTGGGAACGAGTGTCTTTATATAGCATCAGATGGTATAATGGTATATTAGCCATGAGCTGGAAAGTGTTTGGGTGGGAGACCTTCAATCCCGGCATTTCCCTTGAGAGACTGAGGAAAACTACGAAAATCCTCAGTTCCCTGAGGCAAATGTTGGAATAATGCCTCAAATACACTGCTGCTTCTTCCAAATTCCCTCTGATTCATCTTATCATTCAGTGCTATGCAACGTAGACACTAGCAGCTTCCCAAACAGTAACGTAGTAAACATCTGCTCGGCTAAATGAACTTTTCGTCTTCTTCACCTCTGTGGCTTATTCGCTTTCAGAATAGGCTGCCTTATAAAAACATGAATCTTATTTACTTTGTGTATCCTAGAATAAGCTATGAAATTAAATCAATGATCAGAACTTCATGTTAAACTACACATAGGACATACTTTGTTAGTTTTCATGTAGTGCCAAAGTCAGGGATATATGGAGCTTTGCCTCCATTTCTCCTACTTCTCATAATTGGGTTTTAATTAAGGATGTGATAAACTGTACCATTTCTGAATTGCCAGCAATAAATCCTACGTTTTCCTTCCTACTGAACCTTCATCTCCTTTGCAAATCCACACAATCAAAGAGAGAACATATAAATTGGCCCTACTGCACTGTAGTGAATGCAAATGTGATGTGTTTTACTGTTCCTAATTATCATTTTAAATCATATGCTGAGAGTGTGTCTTCATACTGTGATATTCTGGGTCATGGCTCTGTGTAGCTGTGTTTCCCTTCAGAGCAGAAAAGTACCCTGAACGCGGAAGCAGTATGTTCCTCCGAAAAGTTGGTATCCACGTACAAATTACATATCTCAGAGGACCACAGGGGGCCTCTTAATTGCTATAAATTCCTAAAATCTTTGGTGTTTTTCAGTGTTTTACGTCTAAAGAAATGCACCGTGTGGGACAACAATTCATTGAAGCTGTATGTGCTTCTTTGGCAGGGCCACTGTACCGGATGCACTGTTCCTCCACAGCTAGCGGTGTTGCCAACATGTACTCATTTTCAAATCCAAACAGTCTGGCAACTACACCGTTAGACTCAGCTTTGGCTAATTCACGTCTTCTGGTGGATCTTGAGCCAGTTGTTGCTCGCTCTTTGTCGCCAACCGACAGCCGTGCTACAATGGCAATGGGGCACACATTCTCAAGAGATACACGCTCTGCTGAAATGGACCTTCACGCCAATGAACTGGGAGGCGTTGCAGGGACTAGAACAGAACCTCCACCGCCTTATAATTCTTCAGTCAATGAGCAGCATCCTGACAGAAGTGTGCCGCTTCTCAGGTGAATTATCCCTTTAAGTGAAGAAACAGATTCCAGAACCAGGCAAGTCTGTTGAAGAAATTGTTACTGAGAGAGGCAAAGCAGAAGAAATTTCTGTAGCCAGTTACTTCCATTCTTTTCATTAATGTTCTTGGTATTTAAACACAGTTGTTCATTAATTGTTTCTTGCATCCTGTTGTGTATTTAGTTAATATTAGAGTCACTTTTACCGACCACACAACGTATTTTTTTTATTATTACACTACATGTTTCGACCTCAAGGGGTCATCCTCAGGTGTACGAACACAGCTGTACAATTAAACGCAATGACATTCGTCATTGCGTGTAATATAAATAAAACTAGTTAAAGCGAACTTGACGCAGTGATGAACGTAAGTAGGAAGTGACTGAATAACAAGTGAAAGTGAAAGCATAACTAGTTATCTCAATTGAAATTCGATTCGCAAATTTTAAATTTTAATTTTAAATTTTGACATTTGGAATAATATTTTAATTTGTGTTTTGTGGGAGGAGCTTGATATATTATTGAGCGTGGGCCTGAATAGGATACAGGATCGAATAAGTGAAAATACGAATGTCATTGCATGTAATTGTACAGCTGTGTTCGTACACCTGAGGATGACCCCTTGAGGTCGAAACATGTAGTGTAATAATAATAAAAATACGTTGTGTGGTCGGTAAAATTGACTCTAATACAGTTGTTCATATTCACCAAGAAAAAGCGAGACCGTTTCCAAACGCTGCTACTATTGAGTTTCCTTTGCCGCTAGAATTCGTGAATTTGGACTATGATGTAGTTTGTGGAATCCTCAAAATTTAAAATATCAGTTGTGATTTTGGGATGAAGCCTATACCCCGTCTTTTAAGCAGAGGATGGAAACAGATGGAATTGCCAAACTTTGTTTCCTTCAGAAACACCAGATTATGGGCAAAGTTCGGTAACTCTGTAATCTCAGTGCAATCATCTACAAAACTTTTCAGAATTTAATTAGACATGTTATTTGAGAACATGATTTCGTGGCGAAATTTCACATTTTCATGTTTTAACTACATTTTTTTAGCAACATTACATTTATAAAAAGAAATGTTTCATAGTTAACGCAAGTGAAGACTGCACAATTTTTAGTAAAAAGAAATAAAGAAAGTTGTTACTCAAATATTTCTTTGAGACATAATTTTGGAAATGCCATTAGATTGCATAATTAGTATGATCTATTCTCTGTGAATTATTACTACTCATTTCATTGTTATCGGTGATATTTTTTGCCTACATGAATTTAATACTAACACGAAAGGCAGGAATGTGATGATATCTGTGAAGACAGCCAGGCATGGGTACCAGGAGTCCTTGTGTATTTGTTACAAATTCAAAATGAAGAAAGTAATATATTAATTAACACTACCAAAAACCAAAATTATACTTAAAAATATACATTTAATTTGAATACAATGCATGATCCATGAAAGTACCTTTGAACTGAAGAAAGCAATCTTCTTGAATGTGGCGTCGTGTAGATATTGTGTTAACCGAGGTTTCGGAGGAACGTATTGCCTCCATCTTCAGGGTAGAAGAAAAAAGGCTTTAGCCTGTTAGCACCTGCTCATACTGGTTCCTCGCTCGCGGATTTCATCTTTTTTCTTCTACCCTGAAGATGGAGGCGATATGTTCCTCCGAAACGTCGGTTAACACATTATCTACACGGCGCCACATCCCGGAAGACTGCTTTCTTCATAGCTACCGCCGTGAAAACCTCAAATCTTACCCTTCAATTGTTTAAATGTAACACTGTATCCAAATTTTTGTAGCGGTCCCTTACAGTGGGACGAATGTAGCCGTGCCACGTAGTCTTGTAGGCAGTGTTTGTAACTTGCGTCAAAAATATCCATGCTCAATATAAGGAAAAGATGAGTGGCTGGCAGATAAGAATGCAAGTCCCACTACGACTGTTCCGAGAGGCTCTGCTTGTTCCTAGTTGGACTGCGGAGCAGACTAGACTAAACAGAACCTAACCAAATGATGAATCACAGGTAAGATATCTGTTAATTTGGTTGCCAGTATGCCATTATGTACATGAACTCATTGAGAGGTCTGGCATTGACTTGCACTTTTCTTCTACAGTCATGGAAGATCCTTCAGTCAGCAGACCTTCAACCCTGCAGGCCCTCTTCATTCGATGCAAACATCTAGCTCTGGGGCACCTCAACTTGAGTCACCAGTGCTACCCACTTCTAGGATATTTCCAAGCACGGGAACGCCTTTAGCTTCTTGCACTACTTTTGTCCCGTCTCCTACACAGCCTGCAGCAACTGATCAAGTCACAGCAAGCACATCTGTTGCTGCTACTGCTTCTGGAACGGGGCCAGTTCTTCTGCCAGCATCTACTTCACCACTGGTGACCACTGTTGCTTCCAGAGGCCATGATGCGCTCTATCATTCCACCAAATTCTGAAGAGGACATTTTGCCTTTGTGTTTTTGAGCTTAGGTATACCAACTAATATATAAGTATCTTTTGATAACACTAACACCAATATTCTTAAATAAGTTTGTCAACATTTTAAAATTTTCTGTACAGCCATTGGTTCACAGAGGATTGTTTCCAGTTTTTTCATCATACAGTGTGTTCCATTCAAATCTCCGACATTTTAAATTAATCATTGTGAACAAATTGTGATAACTTATGAATTATAATTCATTACCAATTATAATTATAATTAACACTAGATGAAAGACAAACTCAAAGAATTTTATTTCCGTTTTTTTTCGGTGAAGCTACAGTATCTGGCCGCGTATAACTTGACATGTTTGAACAGTTTCTGTATCCCCAGGTAGTCGATCTGCAGCCTAACATAATCTTCCAACAAGATGGAACCCCCCACATTGGGGTCTGGATGTTCAGAGGTCCCTCAATGCCACCTTCCTAGATCGCTGTATTGGACCTGGCGGGCCAATTCTGTGGCCACCAATTTCGCTGGACATCACTCCACTCGACTTCTTCCTCTGGGGTTACATGAAGGACCGTGTGTTCGTGCCTCCAGTGAATGATGTCCCAGATTCACGAGCCCGCATCCGTGAAACAATTGCTACTGTACCAATGGACTTGTTGGAAAGAACGTGGCAAGAAATTGAAACAGATTGGGTAGTGTTCGTGCTACCAATGGTGCACATGTAGAGGTTTATTAGTGTGACAAATACATTTTTTTAGTTGTTCTTGTATTTCCTGTAGCTTCATTTTCCTACCATTCATACTTTCTGTTCTAAGAGCTGATATAATGGGGACGTTTGAATGGAACAGACTATATTTAAGGTCACTTATGTACATACTTACGTCTTTGGTGTATGGTTCTATAAGAAACTTTAAGTCCTATATAACAGATGACCTTCCCAATTATTTGCCTTCTGCCTTTGTCTCTTTACCTTCAGCTGCTGTAAACAAGCTGTACATCATTCTTTCTCAACAGGTGGGATTTAAACTTCAGCTTGGTGGAATATTGAGATCTCAAAATTAAGAATTTCTAATGATTACTATAACACTTAAAATTTGTAAAACTATAAAATTGTGGTAAAAGAAGCTCTTTTTTTAATTCGCTTAGTGGGGGTGCAGTCCAACTGGGTCCACTCGGCATGGCGGCCACTGATTGGCCTATTGTAGGCTGCCCCGTGTGATTATAATGATGGAGAATTTGGTGGAATGAAGATTGGCGGGGGAAACCGAAGTACTCGGGGAAAACCCACCCCAGTGCCACTTTGTCCACCACAATCCCACTTGACCAGATGCGGGATCGAACCCGGGCCGCCATGGGAAGCCAGCGATTAACCACTTGAGCTATGACGCAGCCTAAAAGAAATGTAGTGTCTCCTATGATGGGACTAAGGTTTTCTGACATTGACTTGTAGCATGCAAGTGCATACGTCTGAGAATCAGTGCCCTACAACCCACAGCCATCTCAATCAAGGAGTTGCCACATACATATAACTCATTGTCCTTATATTGTTTCTTTAACCATTTCAATAAGTCATCCGTTAGGTATCTAGTGCTCGGCTTCTTAACCTACTCTAACAGGCTTGATCAACATGGTGCCAGACAACAGCTCTGTAAATACGGTCCAACACGCACCAGTAGATGAGGTTGTGTTTTCTATGTAGTCCGCGCCGAGCAACTGTAGGAACGAGGTCTGTGTGACCATTAGCTAGGTTACGCAAAGGTTCATACAATAGAAATATGTTTTCTGTGTGGTACATGCCGTGGCTATGTAACAAGATTCCCAGAATAACCTAGGGAATGGCAGAATTCGTCCAGGACACTTAAGAAGCAATCATAATCTGAAGGAGTCATTCCAGGAGAGTTTTAGTTTAGTTCCAGAGTGATTGAAGACGAAATAGCAAGAAGATTTCATAGTGATTTGAAATGCCAATTTCTGTGTTAAGATTTTTTGCTAGGAGACGACTAGTGGAACCTGAGAATCCTAGTGCGTGTGCAACACTGGGCTGAAAAATTTGTAAATCAATGATAGTGCTCTGTTAAAGCTAATTAATAGATTTTGTAACCGAAGTGCTAATAAATCTAATGACCCGAAATAGAACCTGTTATTTTCGTCACACATACCCCCCAACCAATGAAAATACATTGGTTCCTGACCTGAGGTTTTTAGCCTCATGCAGAAACACTAAACTAGAAGACCAAGGGCTGACTTTGTACCTCCTCCTGCTTGGCGTTCCAATACAGTATACTGTACAGTGAAATAGCTCTAACCCGGAAACTGTCCGCAATAGGACACCTTTACATATACTACATGTTTTATCTTAGAATGGCCGATACTATGACATCCCAGAATACTGACCTTTCTTCTTGGGACATTTTGTATATACAACTTACTAATTAAATGGTTCAAGACCATCTTTTTACAACTTAAAATTTATTCAACTAGTCAAGAACTGTTTTGTTGCTCTGAAACCCGTGTTCACAAAATCAATAATCTGTCTGCACTTTATTGCTGCATAACATTTTGTGAAGTGTAGTGGAATTGACTGCCAGGTTTCAGTTCCTGGAAGGAGTAAGAGATTTTTTTACTCCACAGGGCCCCGACCAGTTTTGGGGTACACCCAGCCTCCTATCCAAATGATAGCGTGGTCTCTATCCCTGTGGGTAAAGCGGCCGGTGCGTGAAGCTTACCATTCACCTCAATTTAATGCCAAGGTCAAGAATAGTGGAGCTATACCTCTATTTCCCACATGTCTTCATGACATGATTCTTAATTGATTAAGCACAGAACAACTTCACCTTCTTCCTATTTCTTTATGGTGACAGGTTTCCCTGGACTTATAACTAATTTCTAACATTGAGGAATACCCCAAGTTGGCTATCTGAAACTGTTAATTCCATTAGCAGCTACCATCCAGACTTATTCAAAATTGAAGCCAATATCTAAAGTGCGTGTTACATTATAGATAGGGATGTTTTTAAAAGTAATTCAGCCAGCATATGCAGTGCATGCAACTGCTTAAATTTCAGTAATAAAGATTGTACCGAATATAAAATGTTGACAAGTTTAACGAAAACTTCTCCTTGCTTTCTCTTAATTATGGTTAGTAATTTATTGATTTTATTTGGTTCCTTTATTCTTTAATTGTTATGTTATTGTAACATATTAAACAGGAGAGTATAACTTATTGTATTATAGACTCTACGTGTAATATAACGGGTTATTTTTCCAATACATATGCATTTTTCATATGGGAGATATTAGCCAATTATTACATAAATTATAAGTTTCCTTGTTTCAGCCACAAAAATTAGCCAACATCACATTTGTATATTACTTCAAGAGTAAATTTCCTATATAAGTAAGCCTTGATTGAAGATTAGAATATAACTAAATATATTAAAATATTTTGTTATGATATAAACGCTCTACAGAATTTAGCCATCCAAGATTCAAACGTCCATTTTCTTAAGTTTTGAAAAGATACAATACAATACTGTCATATTATGGTTTAAGAATAAGCTTGCAAGCATATCAGTCGTATAATTATGCAATATCATTAATTATATCTTGCAGATGAGCATCTGTGACACTACCACATATTTACCTTGTCTCATACCTGAATATCACTAGCATGGAGTAAATATAAAATGTAGACAGTTCCTGATATTTGAATTTTGTGTCAAAAAATTTTTTATGTTCTTAATTTTTAGCTTAGCAATGTGAAACAGTGCTTTTACATAAATGAATAGAATTGTAGGACTTGCTGTATTCACAGTGGTGATTGTGAAAAAACCCTCTTCTTAGATATAACACCATGCAGTTCCATAGAATTTCACCAATGAAATGTATGTGAATTTCTACCAAGTTTCATGCCTTTTTGTCAGTACCTTCCATACAAATCTGACTTACTAAAATTGAGCAAAGGCACCGAGTTTTAAGAGATACATAAGAATATTGCTCAGGAAAGCCACAGAACGTCAAATTGAACGCTAATTTTAGTGAATATATTAGGTGGCTGAAAATATTGGTTTTATACATATTAGTTCCTTTAAACTTAAGCTTTAATGGAGATGAAATCAGAATAGGAAATTAAGCACAACATATTTCACTTTTATAACAATATTTTATTGTAACCATACATGTAAAGTTCATGTACGTACAATGCTGAAACAGGTTTTCAATTATACCTAATAATTCACTAGTAATTACATTCATAATTATAACAGTGTACTAAACCATAAACTGTGTTGGGAAATTTAATACCTAAAATTTTACAATATTCTTGTTGTTCCTGAAAGTAACACATCTACTGAATTCACTTTGTTGCTCTAAATGCAGACTACACATATAATTTTATGTTTATGAAAAGATACTATTGCTTATTTTAAATCAAAATTAAATAATTTCTTGTGCTTCTGTTATTTGAAACATAAGTACTGAGTGAGTGACATCAGGATAAAATAAGAAATTGATAAGTGAAGTGTTCAACTTCTCTCTCAATCCTTATATTATATTTGCCTGTTCTTACCAGGTAATATTCATTTTGTTATGCCCCTGCCAAAAAAATCTTGATATTTCCTGATTCATCAGTAACAGTTAGAAGTGGCTGGAAATCATATGTTAAATTTCTTCACATGAAGGAGCTACTGGAAAAATATTAACCTATGCCAAGAGGAACAAAATGTGAATTGTCTTCTAAATAGGAGAGTAGAATGCGGAAGTGTGTTTTCATGGCTGTGAAGCTTCATACACACAGATTTATTGTTTTCCATTTGAGAACTGAACATTATTGTGCTCTCTCATTTTATAATGATTTTCTATAATAATGTCCCCTTTTTAAAACCATTGTAAGACATTTCAAATGTAGTTGCTTTAAATAACTGTTTAAGGTATTTTCAGTGTGGTGTTTGGAAGTGAAGTGGCAGTCTCATTTGGTTGAATCGTATTTTCTTTATCTGACTAAGGACTATGAAACATTTATTTCCAATTCAGAATGTATAAAATGTAACAAGCAGCACACATCTACAAACATCATATATCAGTGAAGTGGCTTTTTTATTAATTTATTAATATAATCTGATCTCAGTGACAGAGCTCGATAACATTGAGTGAGAAATGGAAGAACTGAATGCATTGCGAATTGAGTACATATTAGTGGAAGTGGTTGTGCTTAATTTTTATGTAATGTTAATAAGGCATGCAACAACATCCTAAATTTGAGGCAAGACTGCACATCAGTGCAATGAATAGTTCCATAAAGGTATTCTTAAATGAAACAAGCATTAAAAAGTAACTAAAAGGCACTAACTGATCAACTAACTAATTAATTGACTAATCCCATGGAGCTGAACTGTTCTTAAGAAGCCGCCAGTTGTGAAACTACTCTAGAATTTCACAACACTTCAAGGAATCCAAAGGTTCGTTACCGTGCTCACACGAGCCCTCCACTGGCCCCGATCCTGAACCAGATCAGTTCGGTCTATACCACCCCATCCTACCCCTCCAAGATCCATTTTAATATTACCCTCCCACCTATGGCTTGATCTTCCTAGTGGTCACTTTCCTTCTTCTTTTCCCACCAATATCCTATATAAAATCCTCTTCTCCCCATTCATGCTATATGACCTGCCCACCTCATCCCCCTTGACTTGATCATTCTAATTACACTTGGAGAAGAGTACAAGTTATGAAGCTCCTCATTATGCAGTTTTCTCCAACCTCCCGTCACTTCATCTCTCTTCAGTCCAAATATTCTTCTCAGTGCCCTGTTCTGAAACACCCTCAGTCTATGACCCTCTCTTAATGTCAGAGACCAAGTTTCACACACATACAGAACCAGAGAGAATTATAGTTTTGTGTATTGTAATATTTACGTTTTTAGACGGCAGACATGAAGCCAAAAGCCCCCTTCATTCTTCTCTCTGCCCTCACAAGCGCCCCTCTTGCGTCTATGTCCACATTTTCTTACTCTAGTGTATATACGTATCTTCTACCGATTTTGCAGTCACAACTGTAATGTCTGGTGCTCCAAAAGGAATAGTTTGCTTATCACTGCAAGCATTACTGATACCACATCGGGATTCATAGTTATGGGCCTTGAAAGAAAGCCAGCAGTGGCTATCAAAGAGATCTCCGGTGGAATAATTTCATTGGCACTGAG